GAATACCTCTATGACGAACCAACCAAAAGTACTCTCCACCCAATAATTAACCGAGGGAACAGCAACACAACAACACGACTGGACAAAAGCGGTCTTGAATTTTACTGACATGAAACCATTGCATCCCTTTGTTGAACGAGAGGAGAGAGGTTGGAAAAAAAAGTTTGATTAATTCATAACTATGGACTGAAGTGACTCATTTAGTGGCTTGGGAAGAAAGACGGGATGGTAGTCGGTGGTCGAGGGAATAAAAAGGCTGAAAAGAGTGACTGATGCTGAAGGGCGGTTATGCATGGTTAGCCACGCTTTTCACTTTGTGTGTGTGTGTGTGTGTGTGTGTGTGTGTGTGTGTGTGTGTGTGTGTGTGTGTGTGCGCGCGCGCCTACTGTATCTGTCTGCCTCTAACTCTCTCTGAGACGTGAATCCTCAGCAGACTACTGCTCAGCTGTCTGTCTCTCTTAATATGAGCCCGGACAGAAGCAGTGCGCACACATGCATTACACAAAACACACATGCTCCAACACACATATCTTCATACTGTACCTGCAGACACACACAACAGCCCATCACCCTCTCACCCGAGCCAACACAGTGACAGCGAGCATTATCTTGTCTGGTGATTAAGTAAATGCAGCCTCTAAAGAGTAAGAAGCTACTCTCAGGCCATTAGTCAAGAAGATAACAGCCCTACACCCTGCACTGCACCACTCAGCAGTATCTGCAGTCCTCTTCTTCTCACAGCTGGAGACAGAAAGTACTGGAGCCAACAACAGGGGAAAAAACAAACAAAAAAAAAAAAACATGACGCAATCTGAACTCAAAGTCGTCACTCTTGAGCAAACCCAGCTGAGATACGCGACCTTTTTGAAGGCAACGTTCACCTGACAGTCGCTCTCCTGACAGGCCAGATAATCACATTATGTATTTATACCTGCAGTAAATGGAAGGGGGATATATCTTATCAAGATTTTTAGCTTATGAACACTAATGCATCGGGATGGTGTCAGAAGAGGGATCCCACATGTGGGTTGGGCTTTTCACTTTGAATTTACCAGGCCTCAGTCAGCACACTGGCCTCTACTTCTGCACGGATCCACAGGGTGGTGTTTTCCACAAATTGCTCATTCTACCACATCACAGTCAGTAACACTTTGTTACTATCATATCTGCACAGGTTTTAACTCCCATATGTCTCATGTATGGCTTCAACTAATAATCATTTTGTATCTTATGCTCAGAAATTTGTAAATCTTGTTTTATTGTATGGATCACAAAACATGCGTCTCTCACAGCAACAGTATTGAGTCTAATTTCTCTCCATATTCCTTCGGCTGTGGCATTGTGTTGTGAGTGCAGTACTCCTCCTCTAAAGTATTGAGTTATCATTTATAAAATGTCAGTAGTGTAAAATTCCCATCAAAAGTAACTATTCAAAATGATTGTTTTGTCTGACCAAACGTCCAAGAACCCCAAATATTCAATTTACAGTGATAGAAAACAGCAAGTCCTTAAGTACTTCAAATGTCTATACAAATGGTTCTGTGGTTCCATCTTACCGAGGAGAGAGAGTGTAGATTAATCAGTCATCACAGCATTTGTAATTCTCCTATAAGCTTCCAGCATGCACGTATCTTATGTTAGCTCTTTGTTTCAGAGGCACTTATCTCACGCAGTCTCTGGCTGCGGCTGTAGCTTTCCATAGCACAAATGATCCTGCCACACAGGGGGCAGCAAATTAGCCTTTTACATGATTCCCATTGCATATTGATTTGCATAGAAGAGGGGAAATATCTGAGCAAGAGAAGCTGTTCATCATTAAGTCTGGTGATTACAAGTAAATGTGGACCCAGAGCGTCAAAGGAAAGTTAAAATCAGTTTGCCCAGTTTTGTGTACATGACTATTAGCATGGATGAATTGTGACAGTTAAGTGGGAAATTATATCACTGCAAATTTATTTTGGAGCAAACAGAGATGGATCGTGTCTGTTTGGATGAATAACACATGCTAGTTGGTGGTGGGCTCACTTGGGCAACTCATTGCCTCGAAGTAAAGATAAGAGTGGGATATAGAGCTGTGATGTTGAGGGAGGCTGACATTTGCACCTCCAGTCTGATGCCTCAGAGCAGTCAGCGTGCATGTGGAGTGCAGAAATGTTTGTGGGAGAGAGGGAGATGAGAAGGCGGAAGAGTTCCCCAGGCGAGCATTTACAATCAGCATTACCCAGGACGCCTGCACACACTTCTGCACCATCACATTGCTCTCAGAGGAGCAACCACAGTCCATTTGACCCCAACTCAGAGAAAGAGAGAGGGAGGCGGAAAGGCACGGAAAAACACAGTGAAAGGAAAAGAACAGAGTCTACAAACAGCTCACACTAAGCAAATTTCTGTATTATAATCTGTGTAGTTTTGGAGACACCAGACATGAGTAAATAAATGAATAAATAAGATACACAAGTGTTGAATTTGTTAGTCTAAATATTACCAAATCAAGAAAACAGAAAATAGCTGCAAATGTTAATCAGGGTTTGACACTAGCTGTGAAAGTTTTTATTTTTCCTACTCTACTCTAATACAAAAAACATCAAATCAATCAGGAACTTAGAGGAATCAACTGATCTTCTTAGTTGTTGTAATGTAAATATGTGAGTTTAGAGTCTTAGACTTAGTCTTGTTTGAAATTTCAGAACTTTTGACTTTGAAATGATGAATTGCATAAATGAAGTGCTGAGAGTTCACTCACCTTATTGTATTAAGTGTGTGTGTGTGTGTGTGTGTGTGTGTATATATATAAAACTAGCATATTAACCCAGTTCCTAGCATACACATTTGTTTTCCATTTTCAACACTCGATGTTGAACTAACTATTTAGCCGAAGTTCAGTTAACTCCTTTTTTTAAGGCAGCAGAGGAACTTGCGTTTCTAAGATGAAGAAACTTAAAATGATTTACAGTGCATGCACCAAAACTGGCTCACTGTCTCATTAGGCTGTTTCTTTGTAGGTTGGCAGAGCAATAATGTACCTGCAACACTGTCCCTGATGAAATGTGCCTGCATTTCTTATTTATAGACAGACTCTCGCTCCAAATTAGATACTATATCAAAACAAAACACCAGGAGAATACAGCACCAGGCCTGTATCCACACCGTCATCTCACTCAGTGGTTCCTGCTTTTTATCTGTAGATACCTTTTTGTTGTTGAAGATACTCATTATAACTTCATTTTTTTTAAATGAATATACCTTAATTAATATACTTGTAATATCATTAGAAGAAAGTGTATGTTTTACACAGTCTCTGCACATTTATACTATATTCCAGTAAACTGTGCAGAGCAGCCACCCCAGACTGAACTCTACTATAACCTACATGTGAAATCTCACCTTTTACCCACAAGACTCACAGTTCAGTACCTCTACACCTCTACTGGTGTCTAATCTTAGTAGAACAGGAGGCGGTACCAGCCTGATCTGTTTCAAGAGTTGTTAATCCAGTCATGCTAGTTTTCAACACTGAAGCTCAAATATTGGTCTAAAACAGTTGTCACATCAAGTTGTGTCCAAGTTTTTGATAATTTTCCTCAGATATTTCACAAGAACTCGCGTTCGGAGGGAACTGGGAATTTGTTGTTGTTGTGAATGATAATTGTTGTCAATTGGCCTTTCAGCAACTTCCCCTCCACTGCAAGGAACTTATCTAGAGCTGCTCTCTGAGGCTGAATTTGATCTAATGACAACACACCTATATACATATATAACGTATACACAGAAATTGACCATTCACTAAACCCCACCCACACACAGTGACTGTCCAATTGTAGCTTAGGGAAGAAGGTATAACAGGCCTGTCAAGCTTCGGATTTCTTTGCATGCCGAAACATGTACATGGGGCTCTAGATAAGAGCAATACTTTGCTTTTTTGTTAATGCCTTTCCAAAACCAAAAACAGAACCGTGAAGGTGAAAGGAATAGATTAAATTGTGTGTTTCAAACTACTTTACTACCTCCGGCAGTTACAAAGCTTTAATTCCAAGGCTAAGGGGATGTATTTATATTATTAATTAACTAGGTTAAATTTAATTATTTTGTGGAGTTATATGATTTGTAAAATAAATAAATAAATAAATATTCCCCACTGTGCGGAAGCCAGTTCTAGATTCTATCCCAGCCAGCATTGCAAGAAAAAGTGTTTTCTTTGCCAAACACATCGATTAGTCCTCATCCTGAAAGATTTTCTCTTGTAAGTGAAAACATACTGTTTGAAAATACAAACGTGAGGAAGCGAAGCATCAGACAGGGTTGTATTAGACCCAAATAGCCTGATCTCATGTTTTCTTCAGCATATACTGTAGGCCTATACTATAATGATAGGACTGAGCTCTACACTGCAGTACAAACACAGACACAATAAGTACAAGAACAATGCCCTTTCTTCATTTCCATGTTTGCTACACCGGTCACAACCGGTGAGGATGCTGATGTCTTGCCTTCGTCATGCAGATTTAGCCTCAGTCTTCTAACACAATATCATGTACGAAGCTATCAAGTGCATATTTGATTTTTTTACAACATACTTGCTTTAAAATGAGTCAGCCAGAAACATTTAAAGTCAACTGGACATGGTGTTTGCAACCGACTCATGGACTTGATTGGCTAGTTAGCTACAACCGATAAAGTAAATAAAGTAAAGTATATAAACACAGCTGTCATTTCAGCCGACAAACACGACAATTGCCTGCTGAAAGTGAGACGCCTGTTTTTGTCTACCTCCGTCTAAAATCTTGTGCAGTTTCTAAAATTACTACGAATTTCAAGCAGTAAATCTGCCGCTGATACCACTGTAAACTTGGCAGGCAAGGCAACACAAAGTGGGTAGTGCGACTTAGTGAATGGTCAATTGACAGACTGCTGTGTTCAGTGGCACCGACACACACACAGTTTTTATAGCCTACACCAAATGCCAAAATAACAAACAAAAGAGAAAAGTGTGTAATACTTACAACCATACCGTTTAGGGACACCCAGCAGTCAGGGGGGAAGTCTTGGAGGAGAGGCACCAGGTACTGGAGACAGCCATCCCAGTGACACAGAAGTAGCATCATCCCTATCAAATTAAATATTCTTACCACTGCACTAGCCAGGTCATAGGTCATATGGAAGATCTGCCGAAAAGAAAGAGAGGGAGACAGAGAGACCTCGGTTAGAGCTCTTCAGTTCAGTGTGATGAAGTGATACAAGCTCGAGCCGTCAACACGGATGCACACTGGTTTGAATTTGGATCTGTTAGTGTCTCTTAAACATCATGCATTGGTACTTTAGAGGCACATAAAGATTATTTATATTAAAAAAAAAAAAAAAACAAAAGTACAAAGTCACCTTTTGAAGTGGAGGCATGGTTTGTCTGTTTGGCCACCAGAGAATTTGGTTGTCGCCAGACAGTGTGTGTGTGTGTGTGCACGCGCATCTTTGCACTCACAGATGTTGAACTGTTCATAATTCAACATGGCTGCTTTCCAAAACAAACAGACCAGTGGAGGAAATGCACATACAGCACGGAGTAGGTAATGCAGAGAGAGAATGAGCTGTATGAAACGCTGAAGGATGAAGGGGGAGCGCAGAAACGCCAGGAGCCGGGGCAAGTGTGACTGCTGGTGTGGCTATTAAATCAGGGCAGGAAGTTTCAGAATAGAAAGTCATCAGCAGGGTGAGTAACCACATCTGCAATGAGGAGCGGTTTCATTTACTTTGGATCTGGGCGAAGAGAATTGACTCACGGCCGGTTGGCTGGGGCACTAATTCAGAGCTTTTCATTAGCATGTGAAACCCATTACTTCTTTCCAGGTTAGTTATTCCACAATCATCCTCACACTGAAGCTCAATTTCTCCTCCTTTTATCTAAAAAAAAAAAAAAAAAATTCAATATGGAAAAAAATAATAAGATTGGTGGGTTTTGCATAATAAACCTGTCCCGTTTGCCAATTTGTTGAATGAAAGATTTCAGGTAATTATCTATTTTTAAGTTGATGGTTTTCCATCCACTGTAAATTGCCCATTCCACTTATCATACGTGTAATGACTGGAGTATAGTGCACCACACTGCCATAAGAAAAAAATGACCTTTTTGTCTCAAGTTTTTCTACACAGGTGATTGCAGTTTCAAAGTTGAAAAAAATGCAAATAATCAACAAAATCTGGTTCTGGAAGTAATCAATAGATGAAAATGATAACAGAAAAGTGATGTATAGAGAGTTTAAATTACACAATAAGTGTATTTGTGAAGTACATTCAGTTACAATCTATTGAAAGATCAGCAGCACTATTTTACATTGAACATTTCTATTTTCTAACAGTCTATATACTATATATATATATAACAGTCTATATACTCTGTATTTAACACTAGATACGGTCTGAATTTTGAGATTACTTGCCTTTCATCTTTCTCCTCAGTTCTTTTTTTTGCACCTTCTGGCTCACATACCTGAGTATTTAGAAAAATCCTGACCATTTTTCACCAAATTGCAAAGGCCACTCACTTCCTCATCTCATAGAGTGCAATAACTCCAGAAAAGATATAGAGCATGAGTACTGACCTCATGTATTTTGGCATAATTCTGAACCAGTTTCGCCATGGGTATTCAAAATCTACCATTACAACGCCACCAAACCCCAGGTGTTTTAAAAGCTCTTTGAATCCACATCTCTCCACCGCGGCCCATTGTGACTGTCCTGTAACCTTTCTGCACAAAGGACAGTGTCCACACACAAAACAGAGGAGAGAACAAGAGGCTGAGCTGGTGCTCAGATCCCTCTATGGTTCAACTCATCCACAGGGAGATACAGTGCACTGCCCTGAAAGGCTAAAATTAGCCACTAGCTTACAGGATGGCTGTCTCAATGCACCCAGTATCTCTTCTGCTGCCTACATCTTTATTCTTAATTTAGCAGAACTTTCTCTCCCTCAGTGTGTGTGTGTGTGTGTGTGTGTGTGTGTGTGTGTGTCCACATTCATCACAGTTTGATGACATGATGGGAAAGAAAAACACACACAGGGCAAGACAGACGGAGAGAAAATGAGAGAGACAAAAAATAAAGACAGAAAGAAGAAAGAAATGAAGGTAACTAATAAAGGTACATATTCCTGGAGGATTACAATAGGAGTGGAAAACAGGAAGTAGCACTTTGGTCCCTCTTTGAATTGCAAATGACTCACACCAGGCAGAAATAGAAAAGGGTCGACTGCTTGTCTGCACTTTCCCTCCTTCAACTAATGCGTAATCGAAAAACACAACAAAAGGGGCTCAGAAAAACGGCGAGCGGGTTTATGTGGGGACAGCAAGTGTGTGAAGGTTGCAGAGAGGATTTTGCTAATTCCCAGGGATCATTTCACTTTGCTGGGAGGCCTGTGTGAACTTTGGGTCACGCTGAGTCACTGAGGCCAGAGAGGAATGATGTAGAAACTCATTAACACAATGCGGGGTTTGTTTGGGTTTGTATTTCAGTTTGAAAAGTCTGCTAGAGGCAGCAGGTTAGCCACAAGGTAGTGGTCTATTATTAGAGTCCTTAATAATAGAAGCTCCAGGTGTAGATCGCTGGTCTGGTCAGAGGATTATACAGGATAACCTTCATGATGTAGGAATGTATTAGGATGAATTTTAACCATTTGAAGTGAGGTGTTGCAGTTGTTGCCATTGTTCTATTGGGACTAAAACAATCTTTCAATATCACAAATCCGCTTTCTTTGTAATAATACAAAGAATATAATGTATTTGTGCAACCTTTCTCTTTCCTATGCTAATAAACAAGTCCATATGCCCGTAGTGGAAAGCAGGGATGTTATGTCATGCTCAGGCTACGTGTGACGGTTTTCAGTTTCCACAACTTGCGAACATGCTCATACTGGATCATCACTCAGCAACTTTCTGTGACAGAGCGTTAATGAGTTGCACCGAGGCCACAGAGAGGGAGGGAGACGGTTGTGAGTCTGTGCGGCACATGATGTTGATGGAGAGGAGCGATTCAACTATAGGCTTGTTCAACACGTACAGTGAGGGAAATCAAACCGATCAGAAAAAATAAAAAGCGCCACCGCGCTGATAATAGTAAAAGAGACGTCATTATGTTTAAGTTACTTCGGAGTTCAGTAAGCTAGCAGTGCAGTGGAAATACAGTGCAGAATACTTTCATCAGATTTTCTGAAACAATTTGTAAGCAGCATGGCCAGTGAGAGACTGAAGAGGTATCTCTGTTGGGAGCATCAAAACCCTGGTTTGAAAGATGAGCAAAAATGATGGCGTAAAAGTCGTCCATTGATATTTTAATATGTGAGCAAGTGCTTTTTTCCCCCAATAGGAATCAGAGCTTCTTATTGGTTGCAGTAACAGCCTGTAGTACTTTCTGAGTTTGGTTGCCTCTCTTGCATGTTTTTGTTTGCAGAGCTGCTGTGCAAAAGCAGCATCAGTATAAGCTTACACTGTGTGCTGTCGTGCAAGACCCTGCCTCTTTTTGCAGCTCTGATGTGCTCTGTGGTCTGATGTGTTGTTGTGCTGCTCCTTCATTGACATATTGATTTGATTTTTGTGACTATGACCATCTGTTTGTGTTACTCCATGTAGTTTCCAAAGGGTGGCCTGTCCACTGAATGCAAAATATCTACTCGGTGCAGTGTTTGTGCATTTGCATGACTGTGCGTCTCGGGTTGAAAGGGGCCGTGTAGAAATTGTTGAATCACCTGCTCACATTACAAACACACAGGAGAGCAAGGCGGCGAGATTAAGTGGACATTTCAGAACATTGTCCCAAATGTTAGACACAACAAAGCAATCAACCAAGCATTCCAAGATCAGAGTGCCCTCTCTGCCACTGTAAGCTCTCATAAACTGCATGACTACAGGAAATAGGTGGCACTGACAGAGAGCCAAAAGCACCGCCAATACTCTCAGCTGGCATTGGCAAAATATAGGCTTAGAATTAAGTGCATCAAGCTTAAATTTGACCGGGGACAGGGGCAGAGGTCAGCATAATCCTCTAATACAGAAGAGACAAACAGCCAAGATGTGATATGATAGCGACACAAGGTCACACGCCGGTTGCGTCCAGCCAGCACGCCCGCCGCTCATTCACATTTGGCCCTTCCCCATCCATTCATCACCACAGTATGGTAGAGTAGAGCAGATAGGGTTATGGATGTAAACCTGGGAAGTAAATACGCGAATAAACTTCTATGAGAAAAAGTGATAAAATGTCAATCAATGAATTGTTACGTTAGAGCCCGTGTGAACAGTGTGTGTATAAAAATCACAGAGGTGATCCAACATATGTTTTACATCAACTTCAAAATGGTTTACACCGCAGCAGTCGGTCAGGTTGATATGTTTACTGTAGGCTGACATTTTGAATCTGATGTGCAGAGAAAAGAGCACGCAGGAGAATTACTCATCATCAAGCTGTGGGCCTTGAACACGCAATTACAAAGTGTTCTTTATGCATCTTCAAATTGGACATGAGTGACCTCTGTTTGAGGTTAGTGAGGATTAGCGAGGGACTAATTTGAGGGGATTAAATCCACCACTGGCTATTACATTGAAGGATGACAAAACTGCTTCCAGGAAAATCTGGAATTCTACCGCTTAACATCGTCTTGTAAATCTCCTTTTGGATCTCTCTTGGTTTTGCTTAATCACAAAATTACAGTTGAACTTGGATTTGAAAAATCATATTATCATGTAATGGGAATTCACTGGGATTTAGCTAGTCTCGTGTTTTCTTCTTCTGTGTCTCTTCGTCTGTATACTAGAAAATAGTTGTTGGGCATTAAACTCTGTTTATTTTATATTTTTTAAAAAGCAACCAAAACCCTCCTAAAGACAATGTATGTCTGAGCAGATAAAGCTGAAAGTAGAATATTTCATACACACTGAAGTGCCGTTTCTCTCCCCCCAAAGAAAAGCAGCTTGCTGGAAGTAATTACAATTCACGTGACTGTAATGCACTATGTGTAATCATGTTGATATATGTAAAGTTCAGCAATAAATAAACATAAATAGACTTGGCATTATTTCAGAGCTTCAGGCAGCACAGTGTATGCTCTGAGAAGCTAATCAGTCTGCAAATCTGTGTACAACACTGACTAGAATAGACTAGACACAGGAAGAGCAGTGTC